TTTCTACTCCATTTTATAGGTTTTGTTCTAAGTTTTGGTATTTTAACATGTTGGGGATACTTTGGTAAATTTTGGGAAAAACCCTAGTTGTATTATTGAATTAATTTGTATAAGTAATTCATGGAATTGGGAAAAGAGGGTTAAAACGAATGAAACCATAAACTGAACATGTATTCATAACCAAATTGATACTAACCTTGATCATGCAATCCTACAATCATACAGAAAGTTGAAAAAAACTGATTTGAAGTAGTTATAATCCGGCAAATGTAACAACCGAACACCCTCCTCTTCGTCGTCTTCACTCGCAAACCACAGAACCAGACTCCAACAACAAGGATGAAACCCTGGCACAACCAATCCTTGCAACGAGCATGCAAAGCATAAACGTATCTCTCGGAATTGGATTGATGATGAAAAGCGTAAAATAGAAACTGCCAAACTGCATGAACGAAGAAACAGGCACCTATTACGTATTAACACTGTACATATATATATACAGGGGCAAAATAGTCCAAAAAATTATATTAAATTAGAAAAATGGACTTTATGGAATATCTAGAAAAGTTTATGGGACTAATTAGGTTATAATATACTTTAGTGGACCTAATGGGTTATAACAACTCTAGAATGGATTTATCAATAAAAATCTCAAAGTTAAAAGTTAATTTTTTTGTCTTTTTTTTTTATTTAAGAAGTTGGTTTTTAGCCAACGGTGAAATTATAATTTTATCCTCATGGGTCAAAATGTGTTGCATATGTGAAGTTGTAAATATTTTAAATAAATGAGGGTAGTTTGGTCATTTTATTATGATTTGACATCATAAACAAATATTAATCAAAAAAGTCAAAAGTCACTTTTTACCAACTTTTCAAATTATTTGTCTAAAAAAGCCAAAAACTTGGTTAAAAGCCAAAAAGCCACTTTTTACCATCTTCTCAAAATAAAGCCATACTTCACCCATAGCCGACCGTGATGTTCATCGAAATCATCTGTGATTGACGCGGGTCGGACGGGTCGGGTCGGATATGCCAGATATTCGGTTATTTGAACACCCCTAACGCTAACAACAGTCGCTGTGAAGAAACGTGAATTCGGCCGACCCCTAATGTTGGGCTGTTCTCTAATCTATTTATAAATTTAAATTTAAAATTTGAAAGTAAAGCTAGCTAATTAGTTTTAAAATTTTTAAAAAAAATCTTTTAACTTTTATTGATTCATTCTAAAAAAAAAAAAAAATCTTATTATGCCTTAATTTACGGGTGCCTCTATTTACACAACGCATTTCCACTCAAAAGACATTACTACATAAGGCACACCTTTACGCTATGTTTGGATTGAGTGATTTGGAGAGAAAAGAAAAGAAATGGAGTGATATATATTTCTCTTATTTGTTTGGATAATCTAAGTAGAGAGAAATGGGAAGAAATGAAGAGAAATGGAGAGAAACCCATTTCTCTTATAAGCCTCATTTTTAATCTTTTCAAAAGTGGAGAGATTGGGAGAGAAAAGAAATCACTATTTTCATAACACCAATTTGTCCCTATAAAAATAAAAGAAATAAAATGATTGAAAATATAAAAAGGTTATTTTGGTAATATAATATAAAATAATTTCTTTTCTTTTCTCTTAATGAAACCTAACCAAACAAGAATGAGAGAAATCACAATCATTTCTTTTCTTTTATTTCTTCCTTATCCAAACAAAAATGAGAGAAATCACAATCATTTCTTTTCTTTTCTTTTCTCTTATTACTTAAGTAATCATTTCTTTTATTTCCTCTCCTAAGTTCCCAAACATAGTAGTAATTTGATAAATACAAAATTTGCTCAATATACACTACAATCTTCCATCTTTACCCTTACTTACACACCCCACCCACATCGTCCATCTTCACCCTTACCCACTCACGCACCTCACCCACGATCTTCCATCTCCCCCTTCATTCTCTGTTTCATCAAAGACACCATGGTGAAGACATATTCTCCTCTATTCTCTGTTTCATTAAAGACGCCAATGGAAACAACTCCACATTGGAGATACAATAGGTGAGAATTCTCATTTTGCTTAGATTTGAGGGTTTTATGTACGGTTTTCCATTGCCACGAGCATTATATATGAATGCTTGATTTTGCAAACCAGTAGCATTGTATATGAAAATTTGATTTTACAAACCGTTCGACACTGGTCTGTTGAACATTAACCTTCTATCCGGAGTGTTTCTGTCGAACAACTTCAATATGTTCAACATTTTAGTGTCGAACAAAATTGAATAGTCCAGCTTTGAACTTTTGAACAGACTTATCCTTCACTGGTTTTCTGTTTCATTTTCAAAAATGGATGACCATTTGCGTATTCCACCCACTGCCCAATCCCGTAAGTCGCTTCTTTTCGTAGATCACCTTCACCGCTGTCAATTCCTCTTCTCACTTGCGCTCCGCCACTGTCCCATTTCTAGCCCAGTCGCGCCTCCCTTTCGCAACCCACTGCCTTGCAGATCGCGAGAGAGAAAGGGAGAGAGAGAGAGATCACTGGCGAGGGTTTGTGGTGATGGGGATTCGTCGGAGCTGGAGAGGAGCGACGAGACAACGGTGGTGAAATGACTGCAGCTGCAACAATTGTGGCTAGGGTTAGGGTTTGGATGTTGTGTATTCAACCAAGGTGGGTATTGATATTCTTTTGTGGTCATTTTGGTCACTTTAGGTTAGGCCATTATTATAATAAAAAAAATCAATTAATAATGTGTCTTTAGACAAAATGTAACGTGTAAATAGATGCACCTTAAAATGCCTTTTTGGCAAAAACACGACCTAACATTTCCCAACTGAATTCCCAATAATACCCATATTTGCGCTCCTTATTCACCCACTTACCACTCTTGAACACCGCAAAAAATTCAGCAATCACGTCGGGGGTATTTGCGTACTTTCATACTTCTCCTCCCCACTGAGGATGAAATGCCGCGTGTCAGACTCCCGACCTTCCCTTTCGCCAACGCCACTGGGATTTTTTTCCCGCTTTTGAAAAACAGAAGAAAAAAACTTGGCACAAAATTCATATGAAATACATCCCCATTCCATTATCCGCTCAGAGCGAGAGAGAGAGAGAGTGTGAAGCTAGAGAGAGAAAGCAGTGAGAGAAACCAGAGAGAGAGAGAGAGAGAGATGGTGGAATAGCTTGAGGTTCCGGAGGCATCACATCAGAGTGTGTTGACAATCGCTGTTGAACGAAACAATGGCAATCGGCTCTGTTCTTTCCAATCGAAATTTCGGTTATTTCATCGATTCAGGTATGGATTTCCCTTCCCAATTCTTGTATATCTGTATATAAATCTACAATATATGTGCATAATCCAATGTATTTACTCGAACTTGCTTGTCTGAGCTCAATTTTAATTTTAATTTTTTTTTAATTTGATATTTGAACATGTCTCGATTTCATGTCTGTTGAGTGGGGAATGTTATTAACGCTATATTTAATATTATTATTTTTTGGAGTGTGAGTTGTGTATGGTAATTGCTACATTATGAAAAAAATTGATTAAATTGGATTGATATAGCAACCAATGATCAGCCAAACCCATGGTAAAAGTGTGAGCGAGCTAGGCACTTAAATGTAGGGATGAGCATGGTTCGATTTGGTTCGGTTTTGTAGTAAACCAAGACCAAATCATCACTTACTGTTTTATAAACTTTGGAACCAAACCATCCATGAAAATACAGTTCTGTTCGGTCTGGAACCACGGTTTTCAACAATTTTGTCATCATTTATATCATAATCACAACTTGTTCAAAGATCAAGCAATATATGTATATATGTAAATGGTCTGGTTCAGTTGCAAATTGGAACCATAATGATAAAACTACAAATCAAGCTGTGAAGTACGGTTTACCTATTTTAAGAACAGGACCGAACTTTGTATTGAGAAAACCGAACCAAATAGTGTGGTTTGGGCTGAACGGGACTGGTTTACAATTTTTTTTTTTGATTTGTTTGCTCGGCCCTACTTAAATGGAAGGTGATAGGGTTATATTTTGTTGTCAGTTAAAGAAAGAAGAAGAAGAAGAAGAAGAAGAAGAAGAAGAAGAAGAAGAAGAAGAAAAATACTCCTGAAATTCGGACATACTTGTCGTTGCAAGCGGATAAACTGTGGGTTTTATTTAAGTAATTGAAGACGGTTTAGATATTTTTATTTATTTATTTATTTATTTACAATCGGTAGGAGGGGGAAATAGGTAAGGGGAAGTTGCATAATGTAACAGTAAGACCTGAATTCAGACATCACAACTAATAAGGTAGCACACCTTATCCACTAGACCAATCCCCTGGTCTCTGATAGTTTAGATATTAGAATGAGTGTGTATCTTTGCCTAAATGTGGGTTGTTAACAGCAAACCGTATATGCAGTCCTGTTTTCGTTGTTGCATTTTTGGAGCTGATTTGTAATGGACTTCTGGAAGTTTTAAGATTTGCTAGTTATACATGAAACTTTAACCAATTGAAATTGGCAAAAATTTGAAATTGTCATCCAATTTAATAGTGTTTTCTGTAGTTATATATATATATATATATATATATTTCATATTCAGATTACTTATTAGGAAAGCTGGTTAAAATTTGGCCATTGAAAGAATGCTTACCGTGTATTGGGATTGGTTTTAAATGTGATCTGACTGACAATGCATATCCATGTATGCTTATGCTAAACTTACTTTATGGATCTCATGATGCTTGTGTCTTGTGAAACAATAGCGCAACAACTTCTGGCATGCACTTTATCATGTGCTCAGTTGCATGCTATATTGCATTTTGATGATTAATGATTAGGGAACTACTTGCTACTGGGAAATTGTTGGAACGTTTGATGATTTGATGAATAATAAGGTTGGCTGACCAGTAATGACCAAGAAATCTGACAAACCTAGTGTAATTTTGGAGAAACTGTGAGTTCTTTCAGAATATAGGGAGGAGTAAATTGCATCGGATATGTATTCAATTTAGTTTTATGTTTTGTCATTTGTAATTCTCCTATAATTTAAATTAGGTTCAACTCAACTTAGCATTTTTCATATGGCTATACTTATATTGGCAGGAAAAATATATCAAAAAGAACAAGCTACAGCACATCACCGTGGAGACTGGTTAGGCTTTGCTCCTGGACAGAATGTGCATACAAACATGTTCTACAAAAATTTATATGTTCAAAGGGGAAGTTTTTCTTTATTTAGATACTCATATAGTCCATCTCTTCGTCTTATTGGTCATTCAAATGGTAAAACTATGAGCATTAATCCTAGGCGAAGTATCAGAGGAATATGTGAATGCTGTCTTGCTTCATCTCCCTCTTGCAACAAGTGGGTTCAACCAAGAAATCTGGATAAGTTTGGGATCAATAGCAGGAAACACCAGTTGTCAAAGCATGTAAAAGTAAATATGACCCGTGTTAGCTACAAATCTGATGAGTACGACATTACTGGAACAGAGGCGGATGCATTTGTGTCATCGGAGGGGTCAAGTGAAGCTGTTTTAGTGGAAGGGGTGGAGCAAATAAAACCTTGGTGGGAGCAATTTCCAAAGCGCTGGGTGATAGTACTGCTATGTTTTTCTGCATTTCTGTTATGCAACATGGACAGAGTGAGTTATGGTCTAGTTTTCTCTCATAATTTATTATTATATCTGAAATATGAAGTTTTTCAAATTTAACATGGTTTATTTCTATGGCACTTTAAGCTTTGCTGCTGGTTTTTAGCTTTCACTGTGAATATTTCTTCTCCTCCTAAGTAGTTGCAACTTGCAAGGCAGTTCTATTATATTGAACAATTCTTGACCAAGATGAAATCATATTTTCAGATTCTAACAGCTCTAAATTTTCATATTAGGTGAATATGAGCATTGCAATACTTCCAATGTCACAGGAGTTTAACTTTAACAGTGCAACAGTTGGTCTCATTCAGTCTTCCTTTTTCTGGGGCTATCTGCTCACTCAGGTTTGACTCAAACATTGGCAGCTTTTTCTTTTTAGAAAAGGCAATTTTAGAATTGATGCTAATCTCCATAAAAGTGCTTTTTCTAACTTCTACCACCCACATATATGGTTCTAAGGGATTAAATTTTTTTTTTCCACTTAACTCAGAACTGGCATCAGTTCTGATCTTCAAATGTCATTTATATGTTGTATCAACCCTGATACTTGGACTTTTTAGAATTGCAATGCAGATATATCTAGCTTGCACACTCACACAACCCTTCTTTTTTATCAACTATAGTGGGTCATTCTTGGTCCTTTTATCTGGGAACAATTAACTGTCATGATTTTGAATCTGTATGTCTCTGGCAGTCATCATCTAAGCCAGTGGTCGAAATTGTAATCCACATACTCTGGTGATTGTACATTTGAAATACTGATCAACTCTTCATTGCTCTTGATGAGATATTGTCCTTCTATGTAATTTTTTTTATTGAAGGTCAAAACTTAATTCTTGCCACCCTTCTCTATTAACTGGATTTTGTTTATGTTTCTTTGGCAAATAGATTGTTGGAGGTATCTGGGCAGATAAAATTGGTGGGAAACTAGTATTGGGTTTTGGAGTGATCTGGTGGTCAGTTGCAACAGTTTTGACGCCTATTGCTGCCAGAGTTGGGCTTCCTTTCTTGCTTGTCATGCGTGCCTTTATGGGGATTGGTGAGGTTAGCCTCTTCTTTTGCTCCTTTGATTTGCTTTTATGGTTTACTGGGCTAGATGGATCTACCTCCTGAAACTATTTGATGATTCATTTTTTTCTTTATTTTTTGAAATTCAGAAATAATATTGCACAAAGCCAGTTTGAATCTAGTCTATCTTTAGAGGGTGTTAATTGTAGTAGTTTGGCTTCTAAAATGAATAATGAAAACTAGATTTGGTTTCCCTATGAAATGGGGCATCCAAACCATGAAGCACCGGTGAAGTATTGTTGGTACAACACTGACATCTTAGTCAATTGATTACCTAAAAATCTCTATCTATTTTCTAGTGCCGGATGCTATGATCCCTAAAGCTTCCGTATTGTTGGCTAAATGTCAAACTGAAGGTTCAGCCATCTTGTTTATTGGCAGCAAAGAAACATGTCTTACTAATTTTCAGTTTTGGATGAGAGGATTTTTGGTATTCATCTAATGATGACTACTCTATATTCCCAGAACATTTTCTGTAAAGGTAAGACGAAGTTTGATATTTTTGTACAGTCTACATAGGGAAGAATGTGTTCTATGCAGACAATTAACTGATGGAAGCACACAGAACATGCATTTAGTCCGCATAGTTCACGTAGCACATTTATATGTACAAAACTGGAGCTTCCAATTTGGCCCAACAAATAAAAATGCTATTGTCTTAAATTTCATCAGTGTGAATTGATTTTCCCTGTTGCATGTCCTCACACTTATTGGAACCACACTACAATGTTGCTACTTATTCCTGTGCTTATGTAAGCTCCTATATTTTTTTACTGAAACATAGTGAACATGCTAACTTCACCGAGTGTTCTTTCTAATGAACATGATAATCTAAGAAACAAATGATCAATGCATGCTAACACAGATGCCACTTTTAGTGTGAGTTTGCAAATTGGAGTAAACCAAGAAATTCAAGTCATTTCATACAATTTTGTAACTTGTAATATTTCAATTGCTTTTCTAATGATATTTAAAGTGATACATTGTATTATCTTTCAGATTTATTCATTAGTTCCCAGTTTTGGATACGAGATTTTTATTGTTTGAAGAATTGGTGTATTTTCTTGCTAGGGTGTCGCTATGCCTGCTATGAATAATATACTTTCGAAGTGGATTCCTGTCTCGGAGAGAAGCAGATCACTTGCATTTGTATACAGCGGCATGTATCTTGGTTCTGTTACAGGGTTGGCTTTTTCTCCTATTTTAATCCACAAGTTTGGGTGGGCTTCTGTATTTTATTCATTCGGCTCCCTTGGAAGTATCTGGTTTGCACTATGGTTGAGTAAAGTAAGTATTTTCTCGTTTAGTTACATTTGAAGTAACAAGTTTAATTTGCATAAATTACTGTACGGGAGTAAATATTCTTTACTTTTGCACTCCTTGCGTCCAAGCTCCGTGTCGCTCCTAATGATGTCGTTCAACCTGAAAGCACAATGACGGTGAGCTACCTGACGGGTGTGTTGCCAGAAAACCCCTCTGACGGTCAAGTTAGCACCCTTAGAGATAGAAAAAAGACTGAGCAAGGATAGCTCTGAGTAAAGAGAAAATTGCAGACCTTTTGCTTGGTGGAGTCACTGTTAAAATCCACCTACTCTCCACCTACTTCACCCACTCAAACCTACTCCACTAAACCTAACCTACTACACCACTACCACCTCACCTACTCCACTAAACCTAACCCACTACACCACTACCACCTACTCCTTACCTACTACACACTCAACCTCTTCTATATATAGGAATCATGATCATTGTAATAAATATCAAGATACAACAATCAATAATACATACAATTTATTCTCTCTCTTTCTCTATACATTATTTCTTACAGTCACGCGTCTTTAATAGACTGTTGCCTTGCCTTCCAAGATTGTGCGCACACTACCTCGCTTGTCCTTTGCTAGACACGTGGATGTACTTCCCTCTCCTTTCCTTACACGTGTGTGCGTCAATACTGCCAAACAGTATTGACTAAACAGCCAGACAGTATTGATGCGTACTATTGGCTAGTGTTCCTCGTCGCACTACAATTGGGCCACATAGTATACGGCCGTTGACCTACCTTCAACCGGGCTAATTTCAAGCAGTTAAGTCCCAGGCCGCTTCATGTCCGAGTTAGCTTTGGCCGGTTGGGTCCCGAAGAATTCTACTAACATAGTCCGCTATATTCTGCTCGGTTAAGCGTCGTTTACTCATTACTCGGATGAACTTCGTGCGGCCCTTCACCTTGACTAAGATTCTCAGCTCGGTCAAGCGTCGCCCTCGTCATCTTAGCCTGGTCATTCTCCGTTGTGCATACTTAGCTCAATCGAGATCCTTCGCCTGGTCCATGTCCGACGCGTGGACTTATCTCTGCCCATAGTCCAAACTCATTCAGCTTGGCCCAACGCCCATTTCATGTTAACTCGGTTGCACGGTCAAAGGCCCACATGAAATTTAGGTCGGCCCATTTGTTCGGCACAAATTTTCCCCACTTAGGCCATCTCCAACAGTGCATCAAACCTTGCATCAGATTTGAAATTTGATGAAAAAATCACTTTTTCTCGCTCCATTGGTTTCACCAAATTGATATCAAAATGAAAATGGAACAAAAGTTTCATCAAACTGAGGACAAGCTCCAGATTTCATCTTTTCACTGTTTTATACCGTTGGACGGGGGCAACCGGTCAACCAGCCGGTTGACCCACCGGTCGGCGGTTCCCTTTCAAATAGGTAGGTTCAAACAGGTTTTTAAAAAAAAAAAAAAATGCCTTACTGGTCGACCCACCGGATGACCCTTCCCTTTTGATGCACCGTTGGAGCAAGCCATATCAGATTGAGAAAATCAGCTATTTTTTACTTAGATTTGGTAAAAAAAAGTAATGTACCGTAGGAGATGCTCTTACAAATTAAAAAACGAATTTTACACCGTCACTTGATCAATTCAAAATTATCTTTGCCTCCTGTAGGCCATAATGCACAATCTGTAGAAAGTGTAATAATTGGTTTCCATTTCCTGGTTGTGATAGGTTGAAATCAAGACTTTTTTTTTTTTTACAAATCTGTTTTTCATTACATAAACAATAACTGGACAAGCAGTTTCTGTTTTGTATGTATAAAATTTCAACTGGAGGATTAGATGCTTCCTCAAAATAAGTAAGTGTATAGCCTGTGACGTGGTTGAGGATATCAAGCTTGTTTATATTATTTTCATGACCTTATTTGCCTATAGAGTCTCCATACAAGAGGAGAGGTTCATAGCTGCACATCATGGCTGTCAATGTTATTTGAGGTGAAAGATGTGAAATCAATGTTGTATCAGGATACTAGTCTTCTTGTAGTTGGATCTCCAAGTTTCTAGATTGCTCCAAATACCACTTGAGTATCCAAATCTGGATCGATGTCCACAAGAACATCTCTAAAGACGGTTCTAGCACCATACCAAATGTGCTTGAAGGAGAAAAGTTAATGAAGCATGCCTAAAAGCAAACAACTGTGCACTGGGAAATACCACTAGATTTCAAAGTACCATGCTTTAATTCAAAATTTTCACTCTATTGAGCACATCTAGCGATTTTTCAACATAGCAGGATCACTATAATGGACTCCATGGAGTTCGCCACTGTAGAACTCAACAACTACTGTCTACATCTAATTGTTTGACACTATACTTCGATTCTAATTTTCTAAAAGGAGCATTGGCTCTATCAATTCCGTTGCCATCTACTCATAACATATTTCTGGATCATGTCTTCATTACTGTAAATATCTCTACTAGAATGTATATTTCTGTAGTGTATCTATAAAATAATGTTACTATTTTGGACATGGTTGAGGATATCAATTATGTTTAGCTTCCTTGCATTATTTAATTTTTCTTTAGATTCTCCATTTGAGAGGATGGATTATCAGTACAACAACCCCCATCCACTGGCCCAATATCTAATATGCACATGTATATAATGAGTCAACCCAAGTTGCATTCCAGATAGACGTTCTTGCTAAAAATTCTTTCTGCCTTTGACTTGTCTCAGGCATATAGCTCACCTAATGAAGATCCAGAGCTTAATGCAGAGGAAAAAAGGCTCATCTTGGGTAGCAGCAGTGCCAAGGAGCCTGTGACGGTCATACCATGGAGGCTAATTTTATCAAAACCACCTGTTTGGGCTCTCATTATCTCCCATTTCTGCCATAATTGGGGAACCTTCATTCTTCTGACATGGATGCCTACCTACTATAATCAGGTATTTGTAACATTTGTAAAAATGGGTAATAGTTGAGATAACCATTTTGGTATTTTTCATATTTCAATCTCCATATTTCTTATGCTGGATAATCTGCAATACAAATTATGCTTTCCCAATATTTGTGTTGTTTTTATTGTTCTTATTATTACATATTTGTAAAGCTCATCCATGTGTTGACACTTGAATTAATTCAACCTTCCAGAGGATATGAACATCCAATGTGAAAAAGATAGAATACCTGTAGAGAAACTTTAATATCAGTTTCTATATGGACACAAATTTTCTTATAGATTTTTTGGGTTGCTCAAACATTAGCACTACTCATCCCTTCTGCTCAATAATGCATTGTGTGCAAGGTTCCTCATAAATTTCAATTCCTGTCCAATTCTATCAAAAGCAACCACCCACCTCAAATTTGTTTGAAACCCACAACAGTTCATATGTATATCAAGCTATCACGTGCACCCACGTTTTGCCAATAGAAGAAGTAAACAACCAAGCAGAGAAGAAGAAACTAAGCGGGGACCAAATAACAAGTGCTAACGGAGAGACTTGAACCACATACCTCTCTCAACCTGAGCTCTAATATCATGTTAAGCCACCAATTGTCCCAAAACCTTAAGCTATTAGGAAATGAGCCAATAATGTATATCAAGCTATCCAACACATAGTAAGTGAGCAATCTTGAGAAAACCATAGGAAATTGGAACTATGACGAACCCAAATCGAACTTTTTAACAGTTGTTTGATGCCCGTACAACGTACATGAATTCAGTCTGGAGAAATGCAGATCTGTAAAAGGATATTCAAACTTCACTATTCCTCCTTACCTTAATGTTGCATTAATGTAGTCCAAACTTATAAACTGTTTATTATATTTCAATTTTGACTTCTACCGTTTTATTTTTCTTAAATTCGTCATTTACACTTCATCCTAGACCTTCCAACTTTTGAGTCTCATCAGCCAGGTTTCAAGGAGAAATTCTGTCAGAAACCAATTATGCTTGTTGACACAATAATTTACTGCTAAACTCAAAATCTTGTAAATATCTCAGTGAACTCAAACAAACAATTTAGTCAGTAGCACTGACTTGTTGCTCTGGGGCGCTGCAACTTGTTATTACTGTATCGTTTACTATTTTGCTGGCTGCTGAGCATGCTAAAGCAAAACCAAGCTATATTAGTCCGTTGATATTCTAAATATGAGTTGAGTAAAATTTTCAGCATGCAAGTGTAACAATTACATGCTTATTATTTACACTAGTATCAATGTATGAAAAAAAAAATGATTAACATGCAGATCTGTGATTATAGTTTATAGGTAATCTTACAAATGACCTAGAGTATTTTTTCTTTTCCTTATGGTTGTTTTCTCAGGTGTTGAAGTTCAACCTCACTGAGTCAGGGCTTCTTTGTGTATTGCCATGGTTGACCATGGCTGTGTTTGCGAATATAGGAGGATGGATTGCAGACACACTTGTGAGCAAAGGTCTCTCCATAACTGCGGTTCGCAAGGCAAGGATTAGTACTGCTCTATTTTGTATATACATGTAACATGGTAATATCTTGTAAAGGGAGCAACGGTCTGAACATTTTTCTGAAATAAAAGTCCAAACAGTGGAGTAACCTTTCTATTGTTGGAATGTGTCCCACATTGCCTGGAGTTGCCCCATCTGTGCTGGCCTCCCTTTAATACTTGAGTTTTAAGGAGTAGTGTGAGTTGGCTTTTCAATTTGGTATTAGAGCTTGGTTGGGCCTGTGATTGGTGTGCTGTTTGTCCGGCTACTGTATGTTGTGGTCTAGGATGGTGTGTTGGAACATGTCTCATATTGCCTGGAGTTGCCTCATCTGTGCTGCAGTTATATTTTCCTTAATACCTGGGTTTAAGAAGAAGTGTGGGTTAGGCTTTTCAATTTCTATTTGATAGTTTTGAGGCAAAATGAGCCATGTAGAAATATGTAGCACCTTTAACTTTGCAATTCACTGAGAATAACTCTTTTCTAGACCTTTCAATATTGCAGATAATGCAATCAATTGGGTTTTTGGGGCCGGCCTTCTTCCTTACACAGCTGAGCCATATCAAGACACCTGCTTTGGCGGTGCTATGCATGGCATGCAGTCAGGTTTGTTCAGTGGATTTTAGTTGAAGTCTCTCAAACGTTATTTTCTTTGCAGAGAAAAGTCAACAGGTTATTGAAATGAAAACAGAGAATACTTTTATGCTAGAATGCAGGCCAATAATTTTTATAGAAACTACCATATTTAATTCTTTATGTAAATTGCTAACTGACACCCTTTAGTTTCGATATGGTTTTTGTGAGCCTATTTCAAGAAATTTTTGCATAATTCTAATGTTCAATGAATATATTACCCTCTCTGGTTTACACACATTTTCTTGCGAGGTATCATTTATGGCAGGAATTGTGGAGATGCTATGTAAATTTCTAACTCTGTATGTAAATTTAAGATAAGTTACTCCAACTTGCACAAATTGATGAATTCCTTCAATCTCTCAATTGTTGCTAGTAGCTCTACCTAGAAAGCTTAAGTAATTGTATGCTACTTTTTGGGTAGGGTGTAGGGTAGAGGAGGGAAGGGGGTTATCAAGGTGATGATGTTAATAATACAACTTCAATGAGAGACGAGTAACTTGTATAAAGCAGAACAAAAAAAAATAGAAAAACATTGTAGAAATGTGACTGCTTTTCAAATAATGGAAAATGTTATATCCCATAGTTGAACCTGTAGTAGGACCTAGTAGTTTAACGATCATACAGCTGGCCTGTGTTAGTTTTTGCCAGAGCGAGATTCAACTATCCAAAGCATAGATAATTGTACATTGCTACAGCAGCCTTCAATGAATTCTAGTATTTTACTGTAGCTTATATGTGTATTAAAATTACTAATGGATGCCAAAAACAACTCGTATAAGAATGCACAAGCTACGTGTGAAAGGATGGGCTCTCAAAGAATCAATAATTAATTAGTTTCAAGATTTTCTCTTCATGAATATCTATTTGGCCAAAATCTTGTGACAAAAATATAGATGCTATGTTATCTTTGCAGGGATCAGATGCATTCTCACAATCTGGCCTTTACTCGAACCACCAAGACATTGGGCCCCGTTATGCTGTGAGTTGTCTCTATCCTTTATCCTACATTTTTCAATCATTCTTGGGAAAGATTTATTTAATTATATCTTAGCTCACTGCTTTATCAAGCTCATATTATCTATCTTCCTTATATATCTTGGCAAGAAACTTCAGAAAAGCTTTTTGAAACATAAAAAATGTTTTAGAAAACAATCTTAGCTTTGATTCTCAATTACAGGGAGTACTGTTGGGACTATCTAACACAGCGGGAGTGCTTGCGGGTGTCTTTGGTACAGCTGCAACTGGATACATTCTCCAAAAAGGTGCATCCAAGCTTCCAAGCTTCCAACTTTCATAATTTCATTTATTTATTTATTTTTTGTGTTGATTTCAATTTAATTATTTACTTTCTTTGTGGATGGAAAGAATTTATTTCTCCAAAAAAATTTTTGTTGCAGGTTCTTGGGACGATGTGTTTAAGGTAGCTGTTGCATTGTACATCATGGGCACATTAGTCTGGAACTTGTTTTCAACCGGGGAAAAGATTCTAGACTAGACATCTCCATAAAAAATGGAGAGAGATACAGTCTACATAACCAAAGTGATCAAACAGTAAAGAGATGGATGAATATCAGACACCAAATATACATGGACGATCTGATCTGTTCAGCATTTTCATAGTTCTCGTACTAAATTATGAGGCCCTTAAATCTCCAGCTCCTGACAATTTTGCAGGTTGGCTCCAGAAACACGTTATGGGTACTGCCTCTGTTTCGTTTACCTATTTTTAATTTAAGATAATTCCGGGTAATTTGCACCCGTGAAACCCTTTTCCTTGGCCTATACAGCACATAAAAGTACATGTAATCTGTCAAAGGAAACTTCATTTGAACCTCAAAATCTTTGATAGTGGATTTATATAGCCTCTGTTTTTTTTATTATGAATCATTTACATTTCATTTCTTTCTTGTTTAATTCCCTTTTGTTATGAAAAATTCTCAATTTGGAACAAATTCCTCTTCATAGCACAATTAAAGTCTGACAATAACTAGAAAACTAACCGTCACGCTACAAAATAGCCTGCAACTACATATAAAGCCAATAGTTACCAAGCCCAACTACGAAATAGCCAACTAACTACATAAAATCCCTATAACTACATGGAAAGCCAACGGTTACCAAGCCCAACAACCAAATAGCCCAATAACTAAATAAAACCCCTATTACTACACAAAATATTAAACTCGTGTTCATAGGAGTTGAACTTATAACCTTGCACAACAAAGTGGTGATACACAATCACTAGACCAATGACCTTGGTTCCATGGATTGTTACTTTATTGGCCACATTTATTGTAGATTACAAGAATCTATTTTAAATTATATACATTGAAAATCCAAGATAAGCATAAGATAAGTATGAGTATGATCTCCACAAATGGAGATTTTGATTGGTGTAGAGTGGTGAGACTATCATTTTGGTTGGGGTCATTACACTTTTTAGATATATTGTCCACATATTTGAGCCAATTATATTTTGTGTATTATTCGCACACTAAAAAAATGTACGAACAAATTCATTTTCCTATAAATAACATATAACAAGGCCTTTGTTAGTACTCCAATATCTACTAGATTAACTTACCAAACTGGCTCATTCTTGACACTTCTAAAACATGTTACTCAAGAGCTAGCATTTAACCTAATGCTGTGTTTGGTTGGAGTTTTTGAGGTGGGATTTGGAAAAGGAATGAGAAATGTAATCCTATTTATGTTTGGTTATAATAAAAAATATATGGGAAAAGAAAGGGGGTGAGAAATAAATAAAGAAATAGGATACCTTTTAGGACATCAATTCTATTTATAACCAACACAACCAAACATAGTTGGGATTTGGAATTCTATTAATTCTTTCTCCTTTTCCTTTCATTTCCATTTCCCTTTCCATTTCCCTTCCCAAATCCCCCAACCAAACACAGCGTAAATGTTCCAACTATTTTAGCTTCATTTCTTATGTTTTGGAATGAGTAATTGTGATAACTTCTTTTACCAAAGACAGAGTCAAACGGATGCAAGATTTTGGATTAATTTGTCAAATTTTAGTTAAGCACTGGTCATTATTGTTCTTAAAGAAAACTTTTTGAAGAGATGAATTGCCCATTGCAAATCCAAACTTCTGTATATATTAAGCTGTGCTGCAGAAAATGATTCTCGAAATACACACACATATATATTTAAAACAAATGAACTTGAATTTACTTTGCTGCCAAAAAATTGGTTGTTGGTCGAAATGGACATATGTATTTAAAATAAACGGACCTCGAATTAATTATGCCACCAGAAAACAAACAGACCTCAAATTAACTCTGTTATCAAAAAATGATTGCCCATATTTAATATATACACACACATATATATATATATATATATATATTTAAAGCAAACGGCAAATCCAAACTTTTGTATATATACGTTGCAAAAAATGATTATTGAAATACACACATATATATATATATTTAAAACAAATGAACTTGAATTTACTTTGGTGCCAAAAAATTGATTGCTAGTCCAAATAAATATATGTATTTAAAATAAACAGACCTCTAATTAATCTCGTCACCAAAAAATATTGCCCATCGAAATAAATATAAATATTTAAAACAAATAGGCCTCAAATTAACTTTCCTATCAAAAAAATGATTGCCCATATCTAATATATATATATACTTAAAGCAAATAGACCTCAAATTAACTCCACGACCAAAAAATTGTTGTTGATCAAAATGAACATATATATTTAAAACATACTGTTAGGTCCCTTTATTGTCAAATCCGGATACAAAACTTTGTGTTGAACAAGATGTAACTTTCTCTATGTTTTTGTCTTTCCCGCTCGAGCGGGAACATTGACGCTCGAGCGGATATTGGGGTCTCTCAGTATTTTGTTAGGTCTGTAAAAAATACTGGAAGGTGTGATTTCGCGCTCGAGCGGGTCATCAAGCGCTCGAACGGAACTCTATTTTGTCACACGCAGATTTTGCTGAAGCCGCTCGAGCGGAGATCGCAGACTCAGGTTACCTATTTATACCTATTTAGGTTGTTTTTAGGGTGGACTTTTCCTAGATCTTATTCAAGAGTCCTAGGGTTTTGTTTGAAGTTTTCTTTTGAGGTTTTTGTGAGTTTTTCCTTGATGTTTTGAGAAGAGTTCTTCACTCATGATCTAAAGATACATACATCAAGGAGTTAGTTACTTTAAATTCAAGAGAGAGTTCTCTTCGGTGGATTCCGAAGATTCAAGCGTAGAGTTTCAAAAGGCGTTTGATTCTGTACGTAGTCGTTAATTCAACAAATGAAGTTGTGGATTCAACTTTAGGATTGATCAGTTCCGAGACGAAGGCGTGGTGAAAGAGTTGCAGAAGATTCGAAGACAAATTGACTGAGTTGGGTAATTTGTGTATTATCTTTGTAATATTTCTTTCTTCAGTAGTGGATTAATTAGTGGCGTTTCGCCCGTGGTTTTTGATTATAATTGAAGGTTCTTCAATTGTGGTTTTTTCAACGTAAAAATCGTTTGTGTCGATTTATTGTTTATTCTGAAAAACAAACAATCTAAATCACTTTCGTAGTGCTAGTTGATTTAGATTGTGTGTTTTGGATAATTGGGATTTGGAATATTTTAATCTTAATCTAATCACGAATTACTTAGGATTTTTAATTGGTATCAGAGCAGGTCACTCTTTTTTTTAAAAAAAATATAGGAGTGTGATTTTGTGTGACTAGTAATATGGATTCTATTCGTGAAGGTAACTCGACCCATAGACCTCCTCTACTCGATGGTACAAACTATTCTTACTGGAAAGCTCGTATGAGAGCGTTTTTAAAATGGTGAAAAAATCCCAGAAGCTAAAGTTGTTGGAAAAATTTTGAGGTCCTTACCCGAGAGGTTCCAATCAAAAGTGACAGCCATTGAGAAGGCTCAGAATGTTGATACCCTCAAGCTTGATCAATTGGTTGGAAACTTGCAGACTTATGAAGCCCACCAAATTTCAAAGAAAAAACAAAAAGAAAGTGTGGCTTTCACTAGTGCTTATAAGTCTGCAAAAATTCTGGAGACTGAATTTGATTTAGAGTCTGAGATGACAGCTATGTTTACTAAACAATTTAAAAAAAATTTGAAGAAAAAGAAGCCTAATTTCAGAGACCCTATTTCAAAAGACAAGAGTAATGAAAAACCCAAAACTTTTCCACCAAAACTTGCTCCAAAAACTGAAAAGAAGATTGTAAAGGGGCAAGGGGTCAAGGGCTATGAATGTCAAGGGTTTGGTCACATTGCCCTTGAATGCCCTTCGAAAAAGAATCGAAAGAAAGTCTACACTGTGACTTAGGATGATGAAAGCGGGTCGGAGCAAGAACCCGAAGAACCTGAATCTGGAGAAGACGGGGATAGTGCTTTCATGGCATTTTGGTCCACTTTCACTCAACCTCTTCCAAAGCCAGCGGAGTTAGCTCATGGTCAGAACCTGCATCATGCTCCCACCTTTGATAGGAGTAACTACCTGTTTTGGAAAATCAGAATGAGGGCTTTTTTGAGAGCTTTTGATCCAGAAGGCTGGCAGGCCATTGAAGAAGATACAGACAGGGCTGACAATCCGAGCAGTCAGAGAGCCCTGATCATTATTCGTGGAGCAATTTCTGCTGAAGAACAGCAACGGGTTATTCATTGCACAAAGGCTAAAGAGGCATGGGAAATTTTGAGCCAATTCCATGAAAGAGGAAATTCACCTTCACCATCATCCAGTAACCTTTCTGTCTTAGTTGCTAGACTGGATGAGGTCAAGGAGAATGAAGAGCAAAAAGAGGATGATGAAATATCTGAAGACAATGATGAGATCAATGGCGATGAACTACAACAAGCCTACGAAAAGCTGTACGAGGAATCTCTGAATTTGTCCAAAATCAACGACAAACTCTCTCTCAAGCTCAAAACATGTGAGAGTGAGAATGTCAGGCTAAAAGGAGAACTTGTAGCAGCAAAGCAGAATATCATCAAGATCTCGAGTGACAGGCAAGACTTATGTGGAAAACTTCTATCCTGTGAAACTGAAAGGAATGAACTCCTAAAAGTGTATTCCACATATGAAGAAAAGCTTGAAAGTCTTGAGATGTCGCAAGCTACATTGGAAGAGATAGTCTGTCAAAAAGATGAAGAACTCCGTGTTGCTAGAGCCACTATTGCCATGTGGAACAAAGGTTCCAAATCTTTAGAAGATATCCTCGGGTCTCAACAAATGGGTTGTGACAAAAGCGGGCTAGGCTATGGTGCAACAGCTCACAAGGGACAGGCCTCCACTTCATATGACATGAAGACTCAAGTAAAGGGAAAGTTGAAGGTAGACCAGGCTGATCTCTCTCTTCATCTACCTAAAGTTGGTAAGATCAACAAAAGGGAGGTACAACCTGTTTTTATTTGTCATCACTGTGGTAGGTATGGCCACATTCGTCCTTATTGCTTTGAATTGTTTGGTAAGGTGTCTCAAAATGGTAGAAATTCGAAAACTTTTTGGGCTAGGAGACAACCTTATATGTCTAGGCGGAATACCAAGACTAAAAAGATTTGGGTGAGAAAAGATGATTTGAATTGTTTAGTTGTTCACACTGCTCTAAAAACACGTGATTCACACATGTGGTATCTTGACAGTGGGTGCTCTCGTCATATGTCCGGTAACAAATCCTACTTCACCTCCCTTGAAAAATATGAAGGAGGAATTGTTACTTTTGGAGATGGCGGCACTTCTAGAGTCATTGGTAAGGGCTCTATAAGTGTTGCTGGTCTTCCTAAGCTCGAAAATGCTCTTCTTGTTGATGGTCTTAAAGCAAATCTTTTGAGCATTAGTCAAATGTGTGATTCCCATCATGAAGTATTGTTTTCAAAAAATAAATGTGAAATT